GTTCAGCAAAAGATAATCATTTCCTTATCAAGGCAAGCATCTAAACATTTTCTTCAAACTTCCTACCATAGAAAATTCTAACTTTACTTCTAAACCTTGGTATGAAGTGTACCTTGAAGATGAAATGAACAAAAAAGGTAATAGACAGGCGAACTAAAAGAAAAACTAAAGGATACCCAATTCGCAGAGAATACAATCGCATCAATAGATTTATCTTAAATCAGTAACGGTATCATCCAGATTCAACAATAAGGATACAAACTATGTAATAATCCAAATCTGTTCACGGATATGCAATAAAAAACGTACAGAAGCGTGCAATGATAGAATGAACTGATTACCTCGATCTTATGCTGTTCGAGAGCTGCAAGAAGTTCTTCATGCGATTGAGCAGTCATGGTTCTGGAAGAAGGGTGAAGAACGCAGTTGAAGACTCGTAGGACGACGACCCTTAAACCCTAGCAATATCTATCTCTTTGGCCCGGATCTGTATCTATTATCTATATACGCGGTCATCACGTGATAAGGACGCGCCTGACAGTGAGTTGAAGAAAATGGTGGCAACTGGCAACGCATTCGATTGTTTTTGTCGGACGAGTAGTATTCCGCCAAGCCCATTTCTTATTGGACTATCAGATCACAACTCTATTTTCTTTAAAATGGTGCGGCCCATTGTGATTGGAAATGGAAACCCACGTCAAATAAATTTAGAAGATCATTAGCCAAGTGGCTCATAACACTCCTAGTAGGAAAAGTACAAATAATCCTAAAATATGGGATGGAAAAATAGATCCTTGTTAAAATTTGAAATTGCTTTCGAATATTTTCTTTTGACTTAATCATCATCTACCTAATATATCGATAATCAAATAGAAATAAAATCATACGGAGTATGTGTGTGACCAAATACCCTTTCAATAATTATCCTTTCCCGTCTTGTTAAAAGTGTCGCCCATGTGTAACCTTCCTACTAGCAATCATTTACTTCTTAGTCGTTAAGAATTATGTTACTCCCTCCGTCCCAAATTATAAGATACTTTTTGGTTTACGATGTTTGATCGACGATAAAGCAAACGGATCCCTGTCTGCACTCAAATTTTTTTTAGAAAAAGAAAATTACATATTCAGAAACTACATTAAAACCGCTACAAAACCTGCAAAAAATAATTCAAATTTCATAAAGTTTTGATATATAAAGTAAGAGATTAAGAGTGATTTGTGTTGACCAAGTGAATAATAAAGATATCTTATAAAATGGGACAGAGAGAGTATATAATTAGGAAGAATACAACTATTTATTTTATATATGTAGTGGATATGGTGGGGTTGAGGGTGGAAACTAACTCCCTACCCCCTCTCTGGATCACGTTCTTCAAAATGCTCCATAAAATCAGAATGAAATTATTAGAGCAATTCTCACTCGTGTATAATAAAATATCCATTGACACAATAAATTCTTGTAGAAAAGCATTGGCCATTAAGATATTTGATTCTGGAGAGTTCCATTTGAGTTAATATTAACAAAGAAAAAGTATGGAATATACATGTGATTGTAGGCATTTTCATATAGAGTCTAAGATGAACTTCCTTATAAACTCAAGTTTTTGTTTTCAGCTCATTAGCACATGTGGGATCCAAAAGATTAGACCATTACTAAAGGGTCACGCGGCATGATTGTCTATCCAAATAAGCTCTGGTGTGGTTGTGGTATGCCAATCTATATGTCAAACACATGAAATTTTAGATTAGACAAAAACGGATACTTTAAGCAAAAACAGATGTTAAAAAGGCGAATTGGGAGGGATTGGAGTTGTGCTCTGCATCTCCAATTGGAGTCGTCGTACAAAAAGGATAACACAACGTCGAACCTGGAACCCCAGGAAATGCATGTGCCCGCGGCTGATGTGGAGTTGGCTGTCCCGGATACACACCGTAGGGTTGAGGTGCTGGATATGCACCGTACTGCTGGGGTGTTGCCCCATACGGTGGCTGATAGTATCCTCGTCCTCCTCGGCCACGTCCCCCTCTAGCTCGGCCTCCCCGTTGTACGCGACCAGCCGGGCCACGCGGCGGACCGCCACCACCCCTGGGAGCACCCCCTCGGACGACATGAACCGGAGGTGCCGCAAAAGCCTGATGAACTGGTGCTGCTTCCTGCGCTTGAAACAAGGAATTTCTCTGCTCCTGTGCGACCAATATGGGACGAACATCTTCCAAAGAGGGAATTCCGGGCATATAATCAATAGTTGTGATGAGAGATTCATATCCTCATCCCAAACCGATAATGGCATACTCAATCAAATCATGAGCACTAACAGGAGAATTAATTGCTGCTAGAGAATATGCTAAAATTTTAACTTCTAACAGGTATTGATCCATAGTCTGATTGTCCTTCTTTTTCTTATGAGATAATAATCTTTTCAGTTCTATGGATCGAGAGATGCAAGCACACATAAACCGTTTTTGAAGTTGCTCCCAAATAAAATACGAGAATTTTAAATCATAAAATTCCATGAGGACATCTCTGCCAAGTGTAGCAAAAAGCCATGACCGCACAGTTTGATCAATTTTTAGCCAGTGATTATATTCTATATTTGGAATTTCTCGACCGGACAAGCCATATGTATTAGGAGAGGGGGCTGAAATTGAACCATTGATAAATCCCAATAAGCCATGAGAGACTAAAAATGATTCAAATTGGGTTCTCCAAGGTAAATAATCTTCCGCAGAGGCTAAACATGTGGTCACAATATTGTTGACATTAGGAGTAGAGGAAGCCAATTGAGATGAAAGGGAAGATAACAAGGTAGAGAAATTATTAAAACCTGGCAGAGTTGAACTCCCGACCTGCGGCAGTGGAGACACTCCCGGCTGACCAAAGAACGTAGGGCCACAAAAGAGTGTAGAAGAGCTGCCAATTTCTGGAAAAACAGGAGGCGGTGGGAGAGTCATCGTTGGTGTCCAAGTAAAGGGCTCCGGCATGTTGAATAAACGATAGGAATCGAGAGACGGGATTCCTTTAGCATGCTGCAACAGAGAGGACGCTAGCGGCGTTCGCGGCTGAGCACACGAGGACGACTGAGAGGGAGATTGCGTACTACTGGAAACATCAAGACCGGGCACTGTAGCTATGACGCTGGAGGCTAGCTGCGCCGAGGTAATGGGCGCCACGGTAAGTGGTTGAAACACCGACGCACGGCTGCACCGATGATGTGGGCGCCGTGCTGGAGGCGGCCGAAGAAGTAGGTTGGCCGGCCATGGGGAAGGATCGTGTACAAAAATCTAAGCGACTGATACCATATACAAAACAATAATTTTGGGAAAATAATGGCTTACCCTAATGGGCGCCTTGACGTTATATTTATACTAAAACCAAGTTTTGAGAATTACAAAGTAATCCTTCTATAATACATTATTATATTGTACTTACATTAAGTGTCTCTCCAAACATATTTTCCAGCAGAAGTATTATAGCTTATGCCTCTAACATGTACGACTAAAATCAAACTTAGAAAACAACAAACAATACATAGACAATAATAGACAATAAATAAACAATAGATTATGATAATAATAGTATAAAAGCAGAACTAGTAAGATATAGTTCATGATTTCCAATGAAGAAATTACCTTTAGAGGTCGTCACGAAACTCCACGATGAGGGGGCGCCGGTGATCGCAATATTTGATGACGGACGCCATGGTGTCGGAGAAGGATGTCAGTGCCAGATGCGTAGGGCAATGTGATAGAGAATTATTGGATATTTGGATCGAAGAGATTAGTAAGCCAACGTGTTCCATCCAACGAGTCTCCGCCGAACAATGCTGATATCTAACCTAAAACCGACGCATTATACTTGTAGGACAAAAATGAAAAGTAACAATAAAGTTTCCAAAATCATTTGGTCTAACCTATAATTCAATATAAGTTGGTCAAGATTGTTTGGAAATTACCGTTTGTACAACCTCTTCCATTTTATGATTTTATCTAGGGAAAAGGGGCAAATAAGCCCTCGAACTAATCAAAAAAGTGCAAATAAGCCCTTTTGTAGAAGGTTCCATTCAGTCATCGTCATTTGGGGAGGTTCACGGTGGAATTTTTTGATGTAATTTTTTGAGCATCTTATTCATTAAGTCTAGTTTAGTCCTACTGAATTTCAGCTAAAAATTCAACCGGGAAGACAGTCAAATGAATTTTTGAAGATAACTGTGCAGTTAAACCACGCAGTATATTTCCGAAAATCATTTGAGTGCTTTCCCGGTTGAATTTTTAGCTGAAATTCGGTATGGCTAAACTAGCCTTAATGAAGAAAATGCTCAAAAAAATTCATCAAAAAATTCCACCGAGAACCTCCCCAAATGACGATGATCGGACAGAACCTCCTACAAAAGGGCTTATTTGCACTTTTTTTATTAGTTCGAGGGCTTATTTGCCTCTTTTCCCTTTTATCTATGTATCCAGAGATTTTATCTACAAATGTTTTCTTTTGGATTGAAAATTGCTTGTCTGATCTAATATGATTTAGTTTGGTCTGAATTGATTTAGTCTGATCCAGTAAACGTTTGGTTTCTATGTAGGGATAACTGTCAAATAGGTTCTCGAACTTTCATAAAAAGGTCAATAATTAAGTCCTACTATAGGAGGTTATGTCCGGCCGTCACGATTTGGGGCGGTTCCCGGTGGAATTTTTTGATGAAATTTTTTGAGCATCTTATTCATCAAGTCTAGTTTACTCATACCCAATTTCAACAAAAAATTCAATTGGGAACGTATTCAAATTAATTCGAGAACACAATAATGCGCAGTTATCTTCAAGAATTAATTTGAATGTGTTCCCGATTGAATTTTTAGCTGACATTTGGTATGAGTAAACTAGACCTGATGAATAAGATGCTCAATAATTTTCATCAAAAAATTCCACCAGGAACCGCCCCAAATCGTGACGGCCGGACAGAACCTCCTATAGTAGGACTTAATTGACCTTTTTATGAAAGTTCGAGGACCTATTTGACCGTTTTCCCTTCTGTGTATTTCATAACTATGAAAGTCTGGTATAATCTAATCTGATTTGATCTAGTTTGAGATCCAAAATAGTACAAAAAAAGCATTCTACAAAAGACCCAAATTGCTCAAAGTTGCCTCAAGGTGCTTAGGCTTTTGATCCAATCGTGATTTCTACATAATCGCGTGTCGTGCCCCCACAATACCTAGCCCCTTCTAAAACCCACACTCCTCTTCTACTTTATCTCTTGCCGAACCTCTCGAAAAGAAGATACTGTAGATCTCCCAAAAAAAATCCAGAGATGCAAGGGATTGAGGACAATGTCGGAGGTTCTCCGGATCTCTATAACGTCTATTTCTACGGCAGGCGTATCGAAACCCTAGTCACCTCCGACCCTAGCAGGGTCGTCGAATGGATCAACGACATCGAGTACATCCACCGCAGCCGTCTCCACCGCCTCATCGTCGGCCTCGACGCAGAGTGGCGCCCGACTTTCTCCCGCGGACAGAGGAATCCGGTGGCGACTCTCCAACTCTGCGTCGGCCACCGCTGCCTCATCTTCCAAGCTCTACACTGCCACCAGATCCCGAACAGGCTCTTCGGCTTCCTCGCCGACAGTGACTACACCTTCGTCGGCGTTGGAATCCACGCCGACTTGCAAAAGCTCGATGAGGATTACGGACTGCAGGTGACTAATGCCGTGGATCTCCGGACCATCGCGGTCAACCAGTTCAACGATCGGTCGATGGCGAATGTTGGACTGAAGGATCTGGCGGTGACTTACCTAGGGGCGGATATGGAGAAGCCGAGATGGGTGACGATGAGCAATTGGGCCTGCTACTCGCTCAACGTAGATCAGATTCAGTATGCCTGCGTTGATGCTTATGTGTGTTCCGAGATTGGTAGGGTTGTGAATGCATCTGTTCATGATTATTGATGACCGGATTCTGTTTATTGCTTTCGGCTTTTTAAACGCCATTGTTGAATGCTTTCTATTTATAACTGATGATTAGCTCTATATATGAACTTAAACCTACTAGTGCGATTTTAGTAGCAATGCAACCCCATGCAAGATGGATTTTGGTTTGGAAAACGCTATTCATAATTTAGTACGAAGTATTATACCAATTTCTACTGTACATTTGGGAAACAAGATTTCTTCGGTGACACAGGAAAAAGTCATGCTCCCGAGATATCCTTTTGTGATTTCCTTTTCTACCATACATTTACGTAGTACGAAGTACTACCTCCGTTCTCTTTTAGTTGCAACATTAGACTTTTTGCACTATTCACATGTTCTATTTTGACTACATTTTATTAATTGATGTATAATAAATTACATTTTTAAAAAATATTGTTAAATTCTTCTTATTCTAAAATTTCAAAATATGATTTTTTTTTAATTTTTTTACTAATAAGGAATGAAAGATATTTATGGTCAAACTTGTGCGTTGGCAAACGTGAAATGTTGACTGTTGCAATTAAAAAGGAACGGAGGAAGTATAAAACAAGTTTTCTTTTGTAAAAAACGAACAATATATTTTTGGAGTAGGTTTTTTCTGTCATAAGACTACCTCGAATGTTTCTTTTGGATTGTAATTTTGTGATTTGGTATGAGCGCAATTTTCTCATCTCGCAGGATTTCTCCCCTCTTCCCCTCCTCATCCTTCTTCATTGTCTTCACTATTGTTTGACAACAATATTCACTAGAGGCCGGGTAGCGGGTTGCCAAAGGTCCCACGATGGAGCCACTAGAGTTCAAATATTTGAGGTCCAAAAAAACAAAAAAATGATGACACCCTCGTCGACCGGACAGCATGATGGGAGGTCCAATATTTGAGGTCCAATATTCGCTTCCATGGGTGAAGCCAACCCTGTCCAACATATACTCCGTATATTTTTATTTATAATTCACATTTCGGGGTTTAACCTCTAAATTCGATACGATTAGTCTAGCCTGCCCAATCCACATTTCGCCTATATATACTCTGCTTTGGGAGCTTTGTAAGGAGATAAGATTTAGGATGAGACCCCACTCTCGTTCTATCATCAAAGCTCATCTTACATTCCCTAGGGTCCATGATAACTGCCTGGTCGATTCTGGGAGGGACTTTCAGGGAGAGGCTGCCATCCTTTTTTTGTAATGAGGAGATAATGTATAATATACGTTCTCACTTTTCTGTCTAAGTAGGTGTTTGGATCTTATTTAGAAATCTGCTTCTGCTTTTTCAAGGAGCAGAAACAGAAATTAGAGTGTTTGGATGAAAGTGCAGAAGTGATTCAAGTGGTCTAATTTATTCCAAGAATCAATCTTTTTAGAAGTTGGGGGTGACCAGCTTCTGAAAAACTGATTCTGATTATACATCTGCTTTAAAAAAGTAATCGGAAGCAGAATCAGTTCCAAACACCTCTAACTCTCACTTCTCTACACCAATATATATCGCTAGTGCTATCATGCTATCACAATCTATCAATTCTGGTTATATCTTCACTTAAATTTAATGAAGATGATGTGTGTATAGTGTATCACTGTTTGAATATTTACAAATTTAAAAATAAAAAGAAAAAATTGACAAGAATAATTTCACCTTTCACTGGTCTTCTCATAATAATCCCATATTTAAATAATCTCAAAATAATCCAACCTTTGAACCTCATCTTCTTTCATTGGACCCTGACCAAGTTTTTTTTTACCTTTTTAAAAAATCTTATATAAATAATCTCACATTTATAAGAATATAATTAAAAAGTGAAAGGTGAGATTATTTGTTTAATTTTCAAAGAAAGAGTAAAAAACATGGTCAGGGTCCCATGAAAGAAGATGAAGTGCAAATGTGAGATTATTTTGGGATTATTTAAAGGTGAGATTATTATGAGAAGATCAGTGAAAGGTGAGACTATTCTTGTCAATTTTTCCAAATGAAAATGAAAACTTATCCAAATCTTGCCTGCCATTTAGTTTATTTTTTCTTTTATTATTTTATCGATGTTTCATTTGAACCAACCCAAAGACTTTTCCAATTTTATTAGAAAAAACGATTGGTGTACATGTTTTTTTACACTTTGACACTCTTGTGTGTGTACAGACCAAGTTGTCTTTATTCAAATACTACCTCCGTCCTACAAAGAAGTTATCACTTTCCTTTTTAGCAGTTCCAAAAAGAAGTTCAATTTTCCCTAAATGAAAAATTATCCTACATCAAAACAGTGCAAAAGAATGCAAAACAGTATCAAACAGTGTCAAACAGTGTCGAAATAATGTCAAAACAGTAAAATTTACCCTTGATAAGTTTATTTCCTTATATGTGTTTAAACATCTTTGCGGGACCTCGGAAGGAGTAACTATGTAAGGCTCCATAGAGCTGTCTAGTTACGAACAATCGTGTTTGCGTAGACAGATGTTTTAAAAGTGTAGACACCCAAAATTTTAAAATGGTTCATATTGATTTTAGTGATTCAAAATGACATGATTTTCACCTTTTGAAATGTATTGTACCCTATATTACTGGTTTTATTAGTTTATTGGATTGTCGTGGACTACTTCCAACCCTATATTAAACAATTAGCTAGAAGTCAGATAAGCCTAAAAGTAGGTAAAATTCCACACAAAAAGGTTGTCTATAATGATCATGACCTTACAAAATCAAGGCCTCAGCCTCCCCTAAAACATCTTTCTCCCCAAACCAAAACCCTACAGGCCGCGAAAGGCCGTAACCATGGATATCGGCATTGTGGAAATCGAAGGGTCCTATGATCTCTTTACCGTCAATTTCCACCGAAGCGCTATCGAAACCCTAGTGACATGTGAACCTAGCAAGGTCGTCTCCTGGATCAACGACATCGAGCGCATCCACCGCGGCCGTCTCCACCGCCTCATCGTCGGTCTCGACGTAGAGTGGCGGCCGAGTTACTCGCGTGACCAGAACCCAGTGGCGACTCTCCAACTCGCCGTCGGCGACCGATGCCTCATCGTCCAACTTCTCTACTGCAGCGCCATTCCCGACGAGCTCTTCGGGTTCCTCGCCAACTCGTCCTACACCTTCGTCGGTGTCGGAATCGGCGCAGATCTGGAAAAGCTGGTGGAAGACTACAATCTGGCGGTTACGAACGGGGTGGAGTTGCGGAACCTGGCGGCGGATCAGGCTAACGACAGATCGCTCAGAAATGTCGGGCTGAAGGATATGGCCAGGAGATATTTGGGGGTGGAGATGGTGAAGCCGAGATGGGTGACGATGGGAAGGTGGGATCAGGAGTGGCTATCCACAGCGCAGATTCAGTATGCCTGCGTTGATGCCTTTGTTTGCTTCGAGGTTGGCAGGATTTTGGATGCTTCAGTCCATCAGGGTAATGGGGCTTATCAGGCCCGTATTACTGTCTAATTTCTTTTTCCGGCCCAACGGGAAATTTGAATGTGCTGAACTGCTTGTGGAATGTGGAGTACTATGTGCAGGTTTCTGATTAAACCTCACAGTCACAATCCTATTTGATTATTAAGCGATATATTGCTATGTATGTATTTAAATGTTGATGCAAACTTATGCCTAGATTGACGTTGGGTCATTTTAGTTGTTTAAATTACTAGATTCTCACCCGCGCGATGCGTGGGATATTAAAATGTAATAACGATATGATATCATTTGTAAATATTACTTGGTCGTGTGAAATAAATGCCAATTGTCATAATAAATTATAATTAAAGATCGGATAGTGAAAACTCAGAAATATGTAGTAAGTATGTTTTGGAATAAGTAGAAAAATAACTCAACTATTGAAAAATAAGTATGTGTTGAAATGTTATATAGAGTTTCACATTGATTTTAAAATAAAATCAACTCAACTACACCCTTTCTAAAATCTTTCTCTGGTTCGCTTCTCACCGTTCAACTGAACTTCAAGTCTCTCGTGAAGCGTATGGTCACCACAGTCTGAAATTCACCACTCGTCAGACCAAACCGAATGCCCATGCGTTTGCCTCTTAGTTATTCTTTGGTATATATCTCTTATCGTCAAGTTGTCCATGCCTATTGATTATCAATGTTCATGCTTTTCGTATAAACACACCCAATATGGTAAAGATTTGAGCAGATGCTACTAATTCTTTTTAGAAAAGCAGGTCATATACTTACTGTGACAAACATTTTTTTAGAAAAGCAGGTCTCTTATTAGATTTGTCGGTAATTACAGATGTTGATGGTTTTTTAAGATTGGAGTGGGTAAAGTAAATCGTTTGCTCAAGTGACAAACATACTTTAAATTCAATTGATTTTACTTTCTATATTCTATTTAAATTCATAGAACATTTTTTTATTAGAAAAGCTATTTTCAAAGCACCCTCTTGTGATAAACATGCATGTTTAACGGTAGACTAAATCTGTATTATTTTAACAAAAAACATTTTTAACAAATTTATTTACTTCACTTAACCTCTATATTTTTCCGAGGATATAAAATCTACCCAGATCTATGAATAGTATGAATGCGTAAATATGATGTATACCCATTGTTTTTTCAAATGTAAACGATTGTAAAATCTGGATTTAACATTGACTGTATAGTATTTTGCGAGAAATAATGTCTCTGTTTAAACATGTGTATATCTTGAACATTTTGTAATATTGAACATTTTGTAATATTGTAATTAACATTTTCCAATTCTCGCATCTTATTGGCCGAGCTGTTTTTTCCTTATTTTGAGTTAATTGGTTCTGGGACCTTATTAAGGTTGCCAATCATGTGGAGTAATATGTATAAAGAAAATGAATTTATTAATTAGATCATAATAGGATATGCAGGTTCAAAGTTTCCTAGCATCAAGGCGCAGGTATGAATCTTTTTACAATATCATTTTATTATTTCAGTAACTCTTATTTGCAAATATGATTGTTATTTAGGCTAACCATTTAACACTAAAACCTGACTACTCCATATAATTTAATATAATATTTGATAACTCTGAATCATATTTAAAAATTATATTTTTCAGAAATATTATACATACATACATATATGTATAGATATGTTATATCTATACATATGTATATATATACGTATATATGTATATATATATATTGAATCTAGAGTTTTAAACAAAGGTTATATATATTATTGCTTCATGTGTGTGTGGACATACATACATACATACATATGCTTTCCTGCAAAAAGAACAAATAGCCAAACACTAATTAGCAAATTAGAACAATTTTAAGTATCAAATTAACAAATGCGCAGTATATATCATAAGGCTCACACATACCTATTGAACATATCTATACCAATCAGTAGCTTGGCATTGATTATCCGCTGAAGCATATATATTTCATCACTGTCGTTTTTAGTGAATGTTAGCTACACTCAACCCTTACTTGAAAACAACACAGACATGGATATCTGCATCTTTCAAAAGACTTGTAACATGGACATTATATACATCTAATGGAGTTTTTTAGTTCTCCCCAGCTCCAGATTCCAAACGAAGCTCTCTATGGCCCCTTCAACCCTCCGTTGCAATGCAATAGTCTTGGTGTGAGATGTTGTAATTCAATTGTATTTATACTGCAATCAGCAATGACTCTTATTACTTTTGACAAATTACCCAATGGTTAATAGTATGTAATGTTCAACTTTTGATGCCATGAAATTAGATTAGACAACACCCTGCAAACTGATATGCGCCACATATTTAATTTAAATAATGTTTGACTCTAAAAAGTTGTACAACAAAATCTTCAAAATTGATTTTCTTTGTTTACATGTGAGCACAATACTTTATTCAAAGAATAACTCAATTGTCCAGCGTGATGTTTAAGTCTGCACACTTTTTAAAATTTAAAATAAATTGCAAAGTAGTCATTCATTGTACAGAGCATTAAATAATTTCTCAGCCACTCAAACTGCTGCATCGGACACTGGTCCTCCATTCAAAGCAAGCAGCAGACCAGAGATCCCGTCACCACACCCGCCCGTCTCTGAACCCATATTATACCGACCCGGCCCATTACTGCACAGTGTTTGGGCGGGAACACTGTGCAGTCTTCATTTTGCTTTTGTATAATAAAAGATTCTCTTTGTTTTGTGTTCCAGTTTAAAGTTTGGAAAAATTCACATCATTCATCTCCTATTGTGGTTCGTCTAAGTTCCAATATTAATTCCAAATTGAGTTTTTGCCACTTTTAGTCCTCTAACTATTATATCATTGACATTTTTGGTATTCGACATTGAAGTTTTCCATTTTTAGTCTTCCGATTGTCATTGACACTTTTGTACTCGACTTTGAGTTTTTCCACATTTAATCCTTCGACTTTCATAAATTTGACACTTTTGGTCCTTCAACTATTATAATAGTGACATTTTTAGTCCTCCATTTATTGTGTCAAATTCATAGTGGAAGGATTAAAAGTGTCAATTTTTTAATATTCAGGGGACTAAATGTGGAAAACATTGAAGTCGAGGACTAAAAATGTCTATTGCACAATAGTCGAGGACTAAATATGGAAAAAGTGAAAGTCGAGCATCAAAAGTGTCACTCACCCAATAATTAAGGGATTGAAAATGGAAAAAACTCATTCCAAATTATTCTAATCTATAGGACTATAGAGGGTAGGGGTGGGCGCGGTCCGGAACGGTCCGGTAAACTAGTAAAACCCGTAATGTATCCATTAAGTTTTTAACGGTCCGATACGGTTCGGTTTCAAGGATGGAACCGTTCGGTACCATACCGTTTCGGAATGGTACAAAACGGTACGGTACAATGCCAAATACATGCTAAAAATTTTGAACAAATCTTGCAATTAGTAGATATCTCTTCACACCAACCAACTCACATGAAATGTTGATATAAATACAAGAAATTGCATATGTAGTACTAAAGTTCACAAATGCACAAATAGTGCAACACAACTAAGAAAAAGTATAGCAAAATGATGACGCACGAGATAAATATCATCTTTAATTTACTAAGGGAGTGTTTGCAATTGCTTCAACTTTAAAAAAGTGATTTTTAAAGTGATTTTGGGAAAAAGTGATTAATAGTAAAAGTTGGTAGTGTTTGAGAAAAAAATGATTCTAAAAAAGTAAAAGTTGGTAGTGTTTGGTAAAATAAGTACTTTTTGTGTAATAGAAAAAGTGAGAAGCAGTTTAAAGCACCCTTCTACCTGCTTCCAGCTTTTAGCTTTTAAGTGATTAATTTAAGCCGAAGTTGTCATTTAAAAACACTCTTTTCAACTTTTTTTTAAGCCAAAAGCTGAAAAATGCTTTTTTTAAGCAACCCCAAACACTCTTTAAGTTCATGTGAAAATATAAAAAAGAATATCGTCAAATTGTTAAATACTCCGTATAATAGAAATCTTCAATGTTCTTCTTCGTTCTAGGTTAATTATTTCTCCGTAGTTGTAATTTAATTTGTAGTTAAAACTTGAAAACTAAGATTTGAACCATATTAGTTAAGTTGTAAAATTGTGCAAACATGACACTACAAAAAGTCATGTACACTACATTACTAGAAATGATCAAATGAATAGTCCTTAATGATTTATGAAATTTTAATATTCTTTCAATACATATCAAAATATAACATAAATTTTCTAAAAAGAAAAAATAACAATATATATATATATCATATAATATAAACACACACATTTAGCTAGTTTAGGAACGCATGAATACGTTCTTGGGCAATAAAATTGTTTGTCTATAAAAGAGATCTATTGGTATAGAAAAAATACAAAAATTCAAACGCATTATTTTCGAACGGTTCGGTCCGGTATTTTTCAGTTCTCAAAATCTAGGACCAGTCCCGTACCCGTTTCAAATGGTTCGGTTTTGGTACGGGACAAAAATCTATAGAACCGTTTAAATACCCGGTATTCGGTTCGGTACCCTTATGGGACAGCTCGGTACCGGTTCGGTGGGGGTTTTATGCCCACCCCTAATAGAGGGTATCTTCTCAACATGAACTGAATGAATCAGGTCACCCAAACCACATGTCTTATTTTGATTGGCCTTATATGTTTTTAATTTTTTTGTTTTGTTCTTTCTTCCTTTTCTTTTTAGTTTTTACTCTTCGGGCACCTCCATCAGCCTACGTCCCCTCTTTCTTTTTGTTTGTTCATGATTTTTCAGCCTAAAAATAGAGCTTGCACGGTTGCACTCTTCTTTGACGTCAGCCCTTCGTCCCAGAGTCGCCGTCAGCCCGTCCATTTCATCCCAGATGTCCTGATCTCAGTGATCAATAGCAATGTCAAATTTGAGTTGGGATGGACCAAAATAACTTTTCCACATTTGAAATTGAATGAAAGAAGATCAATTTGAGCCTGACCGAAAACCTAAATCAAACAAAATGGAATTAAAGGTGGGAAGGAGATAATCATATGCGATAGAGACGCAACATAAACAAACAAAATTTCTTTATTGATTTGTTTACCTGATTAGTAAGTAGCAAGTCATGTCGGATCAATATGAGAAGACTTCTTACAATTTGGGATTAATATGAGAAGATTAATGATAGTTGGGATTATTTATGTGAATTTTTCCTTAAAGGTTTTCACTTTCTAATTTTTATCGTCCCAATTTAAAGGTTCACATACTTTTAAGAAGTAATTAATACTCTTAAATAATGTTCTAAAAGGCGCTAGATTCTAGTTGGGTGTCAACCTAACGGCTAGACGAGAGTGCCTAGGTCGGAACAAGTTGGAGTCATACAATTTAAT